ATCAAAAGTCGAAATCACATAATCGATGACTCAGAAAAGTGAGTACGTGATTCGTTGCTGTAACAGCCACGAATCACGTACTCACTTTTTTTCTTCAAAGTAGTGGACTGGGTACAATATCACGCGAAGAAGACACTGAATTTGATTGATCCATGACGATGACCCGAATCGGTTGCGAGCATCATTAATTTCCGCATTAATGATCTCCATGCACGTACATCGATATAAATAAAATTACACGAAATAAGGCTGATCCGTCAGAGAATCATTTGATACTATCGTCCTACCAAAAAATAAAGTAGAAAAAAAAGAAAAAGAAAACATGCGTCATTTCTTTTTTTAATTCACAACTTTCGCGCGATTACAAAAGGCACGTTTCTTTAGCTAGGTAACTTTTATGGTCGGCGGCGAATTCGCTCGCGATGTTCATTCAAAGAGAAAAGATGAGTAAATGAGTCATGAACGTCATACCGAGGCAAGTGCAACAGACGCATGTTTAATATCGTATAAATTGCCTCATTTACACTCGCTCACGCGCGTTCGTGGACAAGTACAAGCATATATGGAGGAGTTACACTGGTATGCAAGACACGAAGTGTACTTTGACGCGTTGTGTATGTGTGATGAGTTTGTCGCAGAATGATGAATGTCGAGAGGAGAGACGTGTTAGTACTAAATGCGAACTTAATCAACGCTTGAGGTTCGCTTTCGCTTGGAGAAAAATGCAAGTTCTTAGTACAGGCGCCACTCACTTTCGGAAGGTATGGCACCTATTTCTTTACTTTTTCTTGTTGATTTAATCGGCACAATCTGACTGCGAGTTGTCAAATTGTTTTTATCAAGTTCGTCTTTGTAACTACCCAGTTTGTAGCAGGTTTTGCTGGCTTCTAGTGTATGCCGAGAGCTAGTCGTCTGCTTCTTGCTCAGGGGTTGCTGTGACGTCAGAACGACGCCCAGTTATGATTGGCTTTGATTGAAAGGATAGTGGGTGAACCTCAATGTTGGATGCATTGAGGCTTACCCAATATTTTTCTCAATCAGTCAATAAGAGCTGGGCGTTCTGACATCATCGTAACCCATGTGCAAAAAGCGCACGAACTCGCGTTCCGCTTTGATAATGATAGTAGTTCTAGTAACAGTTCCCTTAACGAAGTAAAACCATTCCTGTCATATCATTAGATGCATCATAAAGTATAGTTATCAAACTTGAATGTCCGATTTTACTATTTCAGTAAGCGTTTAAGTTCAAATCTATTGAACAGGGGTCACAATTTAACGTTACAATAAGGGTAATTGTCCCACTAGGCACAACTTCCAGAATTTAAAACGATGGCACGATATCCCAATTTAAGATATTTCGCAGCAAAAAAAAAAAAATCGTGGTTCTAAAAGAAATTATGTTCATGATCATCAAACGCAAATGTTTAAGAATATAAAAACGCATGACACTTTTTTCAAAAGCCCATCAAGCAACATTGACTGTCGCCATCTTTTTGGGCACGAAGCGTGTGATTGGATCAGAGTCCTCGCCGAACGCTGACGTAGCCCTCGTATCCAATACATGCTCAAAGTACGTGCCCAAAAAATAACGGACTCGTATGATTTGCGCTGCAGATACTAGATGGCGCTGACTTTGGAGAAAGAAAAAAAAAGGTTTATTAAAACTAATTTTGCATTTTTCTATAGACCTCCTGTGATAGTCAAACAGAATAAAGCTGGTCAAAGTCGGTCGTTCTTAAGCTATCCGTGATTATATTTAGCTCAAAGAACATATCACCGGGTGTAGCGCGGTTTTGTCTGACGCCCATTTATGGTCACTGACAACCCAAGAGATGCAGGAAGTGGTGAGCTTCGGCTATCCTGTTATGACTCCACGGCCAATGAGATTCCTGCTCCAGTCGTTGGGAATTCGAAAAAGCCAATCATGAAGCAAAAAGGGGCGAACAAACTGAGCCACGCCGTGCGTTTTTTTGAAGTTGGCAGTGACCACGGTCGATAATCACGTAGAACAATGTTTAATTCGGAGGCGTAGTTGTAGGATGAGGCCAAGTGCCATCTCAAATACAAAGGAGCATAAGATGTGGCGCTCCACACGAAGGTTCGGGAAGGAACGCCAGAGCTGATGTTGAACCGGACGTAATGGATCGAAGAAAGCGATCAAAGAGAGCGGACGTGATAAAACCTTGTTAATTGCTTAGGAAGACAAACATGAAGCTTACCGGCACAACACTGCTGACATCGATAACCAACGAGATAGATAATTCAAGTGATCGAACATAGCCTTGTTTGGTATTTTTTGACAACGGAGTTTAAACGATCATACGTACAACAACGTGCGAGCACGTGATGATTCATAAGCTAAAAGCATGCTTCCTCGGGCATTTCGGCTATATACTTCGTCTTACCTTAAGGTAGAACGCAGCAAAAGCTAGAAATTCGAGCGGGTAGCCTCAGTAGAATCTCCAGCAGCACGAGCAGTTGGGCAGATTAGACGTCTCAGAAAACAAAGCGCTCGCGCTCAGCCAACGTTTAGAGGAAACGTAACGCGTAGGACCTTCTTGGGCGGTAACGAGGTAACTTAAATGTAATCATCTCGGTAAAATGCTTGCACAATATTCCTTCTTTCGCGTCAGGAGCCTGGTAGAACGCCATATTTATAAACTCAAATAACGCAACTTTGGTTGTGCCGAGGTGCGTGACCACTGAATATGTGTCCCTACAGGCAACAGCCCAAACAAAGCTTAATCCAGCGGTATATATTCTCTGGCAGAATCCTTTATGTACATATTTTTTTTTTCGCCAGCAGAAACAAAGCGAACTTTTTCTTAAAATATGGAGACACAAAGATACGCAAAATAATCGACTTGAGGGTACATTAACTGCATGCACCATTTCTTAAAACACGAAAATCATGCTCCTTCAATATTAAACCACGCAGGAAAGAGAACGCTATGAACCAAATTGTTTGCCCATAAATGCTCCTCTACGAGTACTTAGAAAGTGCTTGTGTTGCTCGTGTGCCTTCCAAACTTATGAACTAACATCTGCTTCTTTCGCAACGCCGTCGACCTTAATGAGAAATTAAGCGTTTTTCTATTTGCCTAATTTTTTATAAAAATACATCTACACAGAAAGAAACTCACTAGGGCCGGGTTACAGATAAAGCGCATCGCTGAGCTATAGGTATGAGTCAGCCTTCGGAAACAGCGCCGATGCAGTGCTGTCTTCAATATAATTAGCTGGGATGCAGAGTTGTGTTAGCACCGTGCACTGATTTAGCGCAAAGTTGGCGCAGCATAACCGCCGACGCCAGCGCTATTTTCCCGCGCTGTTTTGGTACTTTGTTAGTTGCGCTGCATGTGTGGACACGGCCTTCATTATTAAAATATTTAATCAGTGTAGGCAGTGGCGTACCAACTTGTTTTTGAGTGGGAGGGCTGACCGGACCCCCCCCCCCCCCCCCCCCCCCCTCCCCAGGGCCGGAGAGCGGTGCCCTTGGTAGTCCTTGGGCGCCGCCAGCCAGTGTTTGCCCTGCCCAGTGGCGGCTGTTTCAGAGGGGGGGGGGGGGGGGGGCAAAACACATGCCTTGCCCCCCTCTCTGAGAACTGGGGGGGGGGGGGAAGCGCCTTGCCCCCCCGGTTGGTACGCCCATGAGTGTAGGTTTGTTTGGCCAAGTCGCTGCGTTTTAAAATTCTCTCTCATTTCGGCTAGTGCAAGCGGCACTGATAAACGTGGTTCAAGAGAAGTTCCGACCTGTACACCGCCGATAAAACTTAATCTAAGTAGATACCGTTCATGAAGAATGATGCCATGCATACATCGCGGAAACGTTTTGCTTTAGTTTAGACGGCAGTTAAACGCTATGTGTGTGGACTTGATGCATCGAAAAGCGCCTCGGCTGCACGAATGTGTGAACGGTGGATGCATTTGCCACATCAGATTGGGCTCGTAGATTTTAGATGCTCACTTCCAGGTTAGAATGGGGAGGAATATATAGTTCTTTAATGTATTCGTCTGCGTACTCTTCAGCTGTGTTGCCTGTGAGGTACCTGAATCACCACCCAAACAAGATAAATTGCTAAAGTGATCCAGAAACTCTTGCCATCGTGTCAAGGATATTTTCAGTTTTTTTTTAAGTAGTTACAACAAACTTCATCATAAGATGTAAATACATTTTCTCAAAAGTTGAGGGGAATGGTGTAAAATAATTTAAATGTCTGATATAACTTTATGAACAGCACAAAGTTTTAATATGATCAAGGACTAATATAACTTTATATTTAAACCTAAAGCGCCAGTACCATAATTCAATTCATAGGAGCCTTCTAAAAGTAGAAATGGTCCAGTGGCACTCTCGGCGACAGACGTAATATTCGTGGTAATAAAGCTACCGCGTCAACAGTATAAAGCACATGCAACGTTATCAGTAGATGTCAACACCCATGGCCGTTGATGTATACTAGAACACAATATTAGTGTAGTACAGTAGACTTTCGACGCGTTTCATGTTTATGAATGAGAAGCACGTGAATATTGACCCATCCACAAGATAGAAGTCGATGACCAAATATAAGGAAAGTTCCTGCAAGTTACGGTACAAAACAGCGACGCTGTGGCTATGATATATCAAATCTCGGTTCCGATGACCTGTGTTGAACTCTTGCAAAGAGATATTCAAGTGTATAAAGCGGCAAGGTCCACAAGGGGTATGATTCGAAGTACGTGACTATTGACCAATCACGAAGAGACAAGCGGCCAATGACCCAAAGCAAATTCCTGCTAATTATGGTACAAAATACTGATTCTAAAGCTATGGTATACCAACGTTTGGTCCCGTTAACTGTTCTCAAACTCCTGCAACGAATGACTATACATATATATACTTATATCAATCAACATAGTCCACAAAGCGCATGATTCGCGGGTTCAAGAAAGTTTTCGTGTCGCACGGCACGCGAAGCCGCCGATGGGTCCGAGCACGTAGCCTCTGCGACGAGCCTTTATATAGTCTCAGTGCGGCGGTCTGGGCCGTTGACGTGCTGCACCCTGATCCTGCTGAGCACGAGCCCCATCTCGGAGAAGCAGGGCGCACAGCAGGACTCGAGGATGACGCGCATGTACTCCCGCACCACGTGGCAGTTGATGCGGCAGTGGCGGATGGCCGGCCCCGTGCACCAGATGTGCTGGAAGGAGAGGCAGGCGAAGCTCACGCCCACCACCAGGGCCAGCGGAATGGCGCACACCAGGCTGAGCGCCTTGTAGCACACGTTCTTGGTCTGCGTGAAGGTCTTGGCGGCCGCCTTCCAGACGCCGTCGATCGAGTAGGTGCCCTCGGGTTCGGCGAACACGTCGTCGAACTCCACCTGCGGGGTCGTGCCGTGATCCGGCCATAGAGAAGACGAGGTTAACAAACAGGCGAGCTGGTTTTGACATAACATTTAGTTTAAAATCGGAGACAAACGAACGTCCAGTAGGGGGACAAATACACAAACAAAAGATTTCTTAGAACTATGCGTTCGACGCGGTCACACTCCCAATACACATAAAAAAAAAAAAAAAAAGAAACAGTCTGAGGACACTGCCTAGGACGTTCCTCGTGTGACGGCCAGATTAGCCATTCAAATACAGTCTGCAGACAGTTCATATTCATGTATCACGAAAACCCGCTTAATTCAAACATATGCTTAAGGCGTGCCCGCTTATTCTTTCGTCATCGTTTTCGCAGGGAACACCGTACCTTTCGTATGATGCGTCAGCAGTGCTACTACGGCTTGAGCCTTCCTGTGTATTAAAGAGCCCGGCGCATAACTTGTGTGAAAAGCTGATAGCGCACTGCGCTTAAAATTAAAAAAAAATATATATCAGGGGCAGACGTAATTACTTTATTGAGTATATTTTTATTCACTTCCTTCAAACGAAGATGAGAAAGTGTGCTTAAAGAAACCGAAGAGAAGGCCTAAACTGGGACTAAATGTCTCTCTCCATAAACTTGAACGTAGTCAGTTCAGGTTGGGGTTAGTTGAAAAAATTCCGGTCGGGGTTAGTTGAAAGAAAAATAATAAAAAAAAAAGTAGGAGTAGAGGCAATGCCTTTACTGACAGTTGTCACGTGTCTCAAAAAAAAAAAATGTGTGGTTACACACAAAAAAATGTTCTCGATCGTCAATGTAAATTAACGTAATATTTCAAAAGTAAAAACTGCGAATTGATATATTCGAAACAAACTCATTGTTTCGAAAATTGAGAAACAGAATAAATGTTTCAATGTTCATTTCAAGTGCTCAAAAAACTTTTTTCTTTAGTACGAAGTTTAAATTTTTTTTCCTTTCCATCTAGAGTATGCATTGTACGAGTGTTTTTAGGAAGTGGTCGGTCCTGACTGGGTGACCGGGGAAATTAGACACGTAAACTGCAAATAAACCTCCGTTAGAAATTATTAGAAACATTCAGGGCAGCAGCTCGTACTTCGAAGCCCAAAAAATAATCGAGCGATCGGTTTTGGTATATCACCATGCATCCAAGTCTATACTTTAAAGGTAAACTGAAGCGGTTCTGTATTTGAGTATAAGAACTTGGGTCGTCTTCATTCGGCCTCCGTGATCATGCATATCGAAATTATTCTTTTAATTTGGTGCACGGAGGTTGCAGAAAAAAACGTTTCAGTACCGCTAAAGCCCCTCCTTCCCAGAGTGTTACGTAACAGTGCTCAGGAAGGTCGAATAGTGGCAAAAACGAAGCCAGTGCCAATGGGAGGCGCTGCTGCGAAAAAAGCGGACGATAATATAAATATAAAAGTTTAAAAAGCTCGCTACGCTAGAGCTTTTTAAACTTTTATATTTATAGTACATTTACCTTTGTGACTGTAAACAATAATTTTCTGCACCTTCATTATTATTGACAATGACAAAGGTCGAATTCTAAGTAATCATAGATAACTAGATTAGTGATACCTCGTCGTGACGCCAGCGCTTTTTAATATTTTATATGTATAGTGAATTCCCTTTCCTTTATAATAATTATCTCCTTTCCTTCTTTGAGAACGTTGAGACCTTGGGGGCGGTTTTATCGTTGTGCCATTCTATGTTGTTGCTAAATGAAAGATGTCCTGTTCCCGTCCTCGTCCTCGCTGTTTTATACTTTCAAGTTTTTTATCACTATCATCCTCATGTAGAATTGAGCCATTTTCTTGAGCCGTTAAAAGTGAAATTGTAGGAACTTTTGCCCTTTATTATTTGGACGTGTTCTTTAGCAGCATTCATTTCTAAGTATAAATAAGCGTTACTCGTGGTCAGAGCGGAAAAAATTAGTTTTTATAAAAAAAATCGAATAAATCAGATTTGTTAGGTATAAACCATATTTATTTGATTTAAATCAAACATACATGGTTTGAATCACTTAAGCTAGAAATCAGTGACTTTTTTATTACTTGATGTGTTTTTTTATGTGTGATATAAATTCCTTCTGCTTCATCATTATTTGATTCAAATACAAAATAAATGCCTATGGGAAGCAAACACTGTTAGACAAACGTTAAATCGAAAATATGTTTAGTATAATTTTGGGTAAAAGTGTTTCATCTAAATTATTTTAGCCAACTAGGTTTACTTTAGATTATTATAACCAAATAGGTGTTATTTAAATCATGATCTAAATTACGTATTAAATCCTAATTTAAATAATCTTGATTTTTTATTATTCCTCTTGTCCTGGTACACTTATGTTGAAGCATGTACTGAAATCCGTTGCTTTTATGGCCATGGCAAAACAAGGAAGAAAGTATTTTCACGTGGAGCTACGACTGCATGTCAGTAGAATACTAAGAATTTAAGAACACAAGCGTTCAACAACTTCCTGATATATGAACAGTGAGCAGCATAGAAAACCAGGCATAGCTTAGATTTCCGTCTCCAACTTTCAAGCCAGTCCGCCAGTAAAGAACATGACACTAACATAAGTTTGGTGGATCAGCAGGTTTTGGTGTTTTTCTCGCCTCAATAATTAACTACCCAACACCGAACCCACAATCTACGTCGGAATGTAAAGCTAGGCTTAGGGATTCGATTTCATAACAGGGCGTGCATGCTTCAGTAGAGGATTGCCGCCAACAGAACCTGTGAATGCAGGGAGGTGAATAGCGTGCGGGTACTAGAAATGGACCATTTTTTCATTAAAACGTTCCCTACTCTACTCATAACTCATTTATTGCCCAGTCATGAAACTTGGCATTTGATCCGAACCGCTAGAGCTACATTCGGGTGGAGACTGAGCTGACTGAGCATTTGCCCAAATGCAGTTTATTTTTGTTGCAGCTACATAGCCGTAGAGTGTCTAATACTTGCCACCTGTGCCGTGTTGAACACCAAGAAACACATCGTCACCGCATGGCATCTTCCAAGCATCTGAAACACTCTTTCGTTAAGTCTGACGAACGCAAAACTCATAAGATGGTGCGTCGTAATAAAAATACCACGAGATAGGACCGTGAGCGAGTAGCCGACACCCCCTCTTGCCAGAGCTACTGGTCGGGGAAACTACGAATGTCTAACGGAGAGCGCGCCGCATTTGCCTCTACTCCCCTTCTGGAACACTGTAGTTACGTCATAAAAAAAGTTTTTGGAGTCTCCGCTCTCGCGAATGTCTAGCGCGTATCAAAGCTATGCACGCGTACTTTGTTCTTTTCAAAAATCTAAAAAAAGAAAAGACGTCATGACTGGTGTCAGTGCGGGAAATAGCTTGCCCACACAAGCGACACGCGCTTTACGGCCGAGATATCAGTTTTATGACGTAACCTCTGGTCGGAGGTTTTCCGTGTTATCTGGCGTTTAGTTACTTATTTTGGGAAAACGAGCGTGATATTCAAATTCCCGGGATAAAATACTTTAGAATTCACATCTAACTCGTTTTTTTCAAGAATCTCTTTTGCTTTCCTTTAAGCGCAAAATAAACTCTTTTGAATAATCCACGATTAGTTCAGTTGAACATTTGGGAACAAGATAATAACTGTTCGCCTCTGCTTGGTCAGGAACAAAACCCATCCCAGATATCCTGGAAGCAGCCACGCCCGTAATGAACTGAATGAGATGAGAAATAGGATTAACAATGGTGGAGATGAGTTGTGCAATATAGCGACCTCATCCCAAATAAGCTTTTGTCACGCGAACAGATCGCTCGGAGATTAAACATCCCGTTTTTCACATCAGTACTTCACGGCAGAAACGTAAAATACAGGGCGTTTCCCAGAAAATGCGAACTTCGTTCTTCACTTCGGCTGGAACGAGCTGAACATTGGAAGAAAAGAAAGGGAAAAAGACAACCATCCTTTCTTCCAATGTTCAGCTGGTTCGATCTGAAATTAATAACTAACTAGCTCAGCTCATTTCCCTTGTTCGTTCCGCACTCCACTTAAATAAACCACACTCAGAAAAAGCGTAGCCCTCTCACGAAATGCAAAACCAGCAAATTGAATAAGATGCAAAAGTTTCGGTCAGAACTTTACATTATGACAATCAACAAGAGTCTAAGCCATCAACGGAACTTTTAATAAGGAAAACAACAGCTAGCGGAGTCGGAGTTTGCGAATACATGAAAACAAATATCCTTCCATGCTATAAAGAAAGCGCTTTTCAAAATGGCAAAGCTAACCTAGATCTTTTGAGAGAATTCTTCAATAGCATGTACTTACTGTGTGTCGATTCTGTCACTAAGGGGTCACCATTAGAAATATTGTAAAATATGTCTATTTTTACCCCAAAAGACGCTTTCGGGCATAGGGCTGTATTTTACTACCATCTAATTAAAATAATATTCCGACGACCAAATTTATAAACGTAATTAATAAACATAATATTAAAAAAAAACGTAGGATATGAATTTGTAACACCGGAACAAATAAGCACAAACGGACGAGCTTCTTCATTACGAGATTAAGCAGTTTGATGTGGTTTCTACACTATTCACGATGCAGTGAAATATTCAGAGGTGGAACTGGGTGCAGAGGTTTTTCCGCTGATGAAGTTTCGATCATCTTCCGCCTAGTATATATTTGTGATCTAACGTCGGCACTTCTTCGTCTTCCAGCTGTTGGGCCATTTGAGGCCAGGAGGGCATATTTGACCTTGTCATTTTATGCCTTGGGCCGCATACACCTTAAAGGCATAACCAGTTCGTCTGGGCCTTCGTACCTGGCTCAAAAAGTAATTTCTGTTGACGCTTCACCTATACACGATTCGTGATGGCAATGTGTGGACACAGTATACACAAATTTACCTTGTTTTTTTTATTTTGATCACTTTACGTTCTTATAATGTTCACCCAAAAGGTTACTGCGTCTTCAGATACCCCGGCGGTTTTGTCGCCCTTGCGAG